AAACCGGATCACATACACAAACTCTATTCGTGCAGACCGAACAGAGTACACATCCTAGTGTACAGTTCGAACACATTGTTGGTCATTTTTAGACATCAACAATTGGCGCTATAAGGAGGGCTATTCCAGCATGTCAAAGACAAATGCATCATCATCAAGCCAGAGTCGCCGGCAAGACCCACCGGAAGAAAGGGAGGATCGGCGAAACAACCCAACCACGAGGACGGATTATTCAGCCTTTTTCAAAGACCCGAACTTTGTCAAGGGAATATCAAACCTGATAACACAGATTCGACCCTCTACGTCTCAAGCACCTAAAACCTCAGCCAAAAAAGACCTTACCAACACCCTCAAAGGCAAGGGAGCAAACGCTCGCGAAGAAACCACCCGGTCGCCCGGGAGCACGAAGGAAAAATCCACCACCCGGACAGAAAATGAACAGACGGACGAAAGTCGCTCGGTCACGGATACTCGAACCCGAAACACCACCCGGTCGGTTTTCGGATGGCTGGGAAAAAACGTGGCCGATGATGACTTAAGGAGAACGTTGGCCAGAAGACGAACGACTCAAGCAGAAAAAGACGAGATAAAGAGCCTCCAAAGAAGAATTGCCGAACTCGAAGCTCGACGATCGGCCCAAAAACGACTGGCCTCCACCGGACAGGATTTGACGGAAGTCCCTCTCAAACGAGCCACGACAGCTTCAAGGGCACGAGCGGAATCCAGTCCCTCCGAGCCCGAATCACCCCTAACGTTTGATATTTTGCAGGAACAACTGCCCGAGAAAATCAAGATCCCGCAGATCGGATTTTATGACGGAACATCCGACCCGGACACTCACCTAGGATTATACACATCATGGATGGACCTGCACGGAGCACCGGACGCCCTCCGCTGCCGGATGTTCTCATTAACCCTGGGAGAAAAAGCACAAAGATGGTACCATTCGCTCACCCCGCATTCGGTCGCTAGATGGTCGCAGTTAAAATCCATGTTTCGAGCCCATTTCATCGGATCCCAGGCGTGCCGAATTCCCAAAGAATCGATCACTCACATTATCCAGGGAGCAGACGAGAGCCTGAAGAATTACATCACTCGTTTCAACGAACGGGTACAAAACATTGAACCGTGCCATCAGGAGACCCTGCTCGTATCGGCATATT